AATATGGATATAGTCAACCTTGTAAATCTTAGCTGCATCTGAGTAACACTCAAAATTATTTGGACAACAAGCAGGTCACCTTTGCCAGAGCCATTTCTTTGGGTTGAAGTGTAAATGGGAAGTGAAGAAGAGAGTGAATACAAATGAGTCCTTCAAGTACTTTGGATGGAAGGGAAAGAAGCCAATAGAAAGGCACAAATATTGCTTTCTTTGACATTCTATAATCCTTATAGTCTAGACCAGTGTTTCTCAAACTTGGCTACACAAGAAATCACCAGGAAAGCTTTGAAAAATACAGATGCATGGGACCCTTTCTCAGAGATTTCAATTTAGTAGGTCTAGCCTGTGGCATGGGTTCCCCAGGGGATTTCAATGCAAAGCCAAGATTCCATTCTCTTTCATCTTCTCCCCTGAGTAGAGTTAAATTCCTTATCTAGAATAGTTCCACATTTATGTATGAGATGTGCTGGGCACAAAGTAGGAGCTCAATAAATAGTTGCTGATAAATGGACACAGAAACGTTTCTAGGAGATTCAGGACGTGTCCTCATGGTTAGGGATTTCTTTTTCATAGATTTGATCATGGTCCAGATTCAGAGAGGACCATCCAGGAATGAGGAGCACCTTGGTCCAAGGCTCCACTGGGGCACTGGGTGGCTTATATCATCCTTTTGAAATCTAAGTCATGTGCCAGTGGGTCTATGGCATATCCTCTTGGGAATGAAAAATAGGTGAGATGAAATCTTCCTGCAGTCAATAGTATAACTCAAAGTGCAAAGAGGAAAACTCAGTTATACTATCGGAATGTCAGTTGTGGTTACTGAAATTATTTCAATGATTACGTTTGGGGTCGGCTAGTGGAAATAGTCACCAATTTGAAACAAGTAGAGGAAATAAACAGTGCTTTATACTTGTATATGCTTACAACATATTAGGTGTTTTACATATTCTTAAGCCTTACAAAAACCATGCCAATTGGGTACGAGCATCACCATTCTAGAGATGAGGAAGCTGAAGCTTGGAGATGTTAGGCAACTTGTTAGGCTTGTCATATTAGGCAACTTGGTTACAGGGAATTTTTCTTTGTATTCAATGGTCTCTTTCAAGCACTTAGAAAATAAATTAGGCTGTGATCTTTCTGGAATAGTTAGTGGAAAGATAGAGGGGTAAGGTATATCAGTGGCTTTCAAATTTTTTCAATTCAACTAACTTCATAAAAAATAAAACCACGATTACATTAAGCTACATTACTACTTGTGCTTACAGGAATTTGCTCTGAGGAAATTGTACTGGGATATCCAAAGTCCAAGATAGGGTTCTTAGATAGGGGTATTGCCAGTAACCATCTATCTGATCTCAGGTGAGTCACTGCCTTTCTCTGGGGCTCAATTTTCTAAAGAGTGAGACAGAAAAGGATATTAAAGTAATTTTTGAAGGCTATAGACCCTTTATGAATCTGATATAAGCTATGAATACTTTCCCTAGATGATGCACGAATGCAGGTACGTGTACAGCTTTGATTGCTATTTCTGATTATTCACAGATTTTCCAAAAACTATCCATGGGCCTCCAAAGAATATATTGACCCTTGATTAAAAGCACCTGGAATTTGTGCTAAGGGGATCATAGTCATGTTTACAAAAAGAATCCTTATCTTTTAGAGATGCAATTTGATAGTATATTTATGGGTGAAATTATTTCATGTCTGGAATTTGCTTTAAAATGATCCAGCGTGTGTAGGGAGGGGTGGGAGGGGGTGGGGGGCTAATATTGTCCATGAATTGATAATTAGTAAAGCCGGGAGATTAGGTTTATGACAGTACTTTATATTATTTTCTCTACTTTTGTATATACTGAAATTTCCCATAATAAAATAATTTTCACAATAAAAATGATCAATAATTTAAAAAATACCTGGTATAGAGGATCTCTAACGTCTCCAGTTCTAATATTCTATGATTTAGCATTTCAAAGAATCTGAAAAGAATATGGATTGCTGGTTAATATTTTATGTGCTCAGGGCACTGGATCATCATTTTTCTCTTAATGGACCCTTCGAGCTAGAGAGCCTGTTGTGGGCCCTTTTTCCAGATGATTCTGTGATATTCCATTTAATTTCTTCCATAAATATACTTTTGGGGAAAGAGTAGCAAAACCAAATGCAAAAAAATCTGGACAAGAACTGGGCATTAATCATTTCACATGATAATGTGGCTCAATTTATTTTCAAAGATTTCTTAAGATGGGAAGACTCAGACAATATTGCGAATGATGTTTCGTGGCATGTAAAATACTCAGGATGTCAGGTGAAAAGGGGGGCTGGGGGGATGTAAAACAGTACACAAGCATGAGAGATAGTTGCACGGTGGTTGAGAACTTGGGCTCAGAGCCATGCTGCCTGGGTCCCTGTCCTGTCGGTGTCACTTAACTAGCTACATGGTCTTGGGTAGGTCACCTAACCTTTCTCAGCTTCTACTTCCCTATCCATAAAGTGGAAGTAATAACAGAATTTTCTATTCTGAAGATTAAGATTGTGCCTGACTTATGGTAAGCATTCAGCAGATGCTCACTATTGTTCTCTCAACTATGTAAATATAAATACAGATGAAAAACAAAGGTGTAAGATATAGATCAAAATGCTATCAGGAGTTGCCTCTGGATTGTGAAACAATGGGTGATTTTTTTTTTCTTTTTGTCATTTTCATCTGGACTTTTCAAATATCTACAAAGAGTATTTTTACTCTTATAATCAGAGGAAAAAAGTTTTTTTTTGAAAAAGTAATTCTGAAAGTCTTCCTGAAAAAGTTTAATGGCTAGAAGGGCCTGAATCATGTTTGTCCCATGAGGTATTTACAAACAAGGCATCTTCACAGACGAGTAAGATGGAATGATTACCACTGTCTTGTTCACATTTTCCTCAGCAAGTGCTCATGTTTAGGGTGATCCTTGTAAATGCCAATGGGCTTTAACATGTGGCCTTCCTGGGATAGGATAAATAGAGCTTTCCTTGCTTGTTTCATGCCATTCTGCTCCCTTAGCACATGTACCCCCACGCCAGCAGGTTAGCCCTTTTTAGGGGCATGGATCCCTTTGAGAGTATCATGAATGCTATGCCAAGAAAAACTCACAGTCAGGCGCACTATTTTGCAGTGAATTTTCTAGGGTTCATGGGCCTGCATAGCTCATCTCCACTGATTAAGAACACCGAGGCCATGGCAACAAATTTAGGAATGCATAAACACACATCAGGTGTGTAGACCACTTTGTGAAAAATTGGCTTGTATAAATCTGAAACCATAAGCCAGACAAACTGGTGGATAATTACGGGCATTACATATGAGGTTGTGCTTTGCCAAATAATTTACATTAGGACATCTATAAATAGCAAATCCATATAGTGTGTTTGAACCATGCTGCTGTTTATCCAAATGCTAAGCTCTTTCCAGAAGACACCTACTGTAATGCAACAGGCCCAATTCAAAAAGTTTAATACCAGCTTCACTCTTGAGATTAGCTACCTTCATTTACAGAATTCTAGACTGCCTTTGAAATGGCCACTGATCCGTATCACTTTGGATGGTCCATGGCAGACAACGATGAGACATCCAGAAACTTGCAGATGGCAGAGATGTAGTGCATGTGTGTGGGATATGAGACTGCTTTGGGGTGGATTGGCTGAGATGAGATGGATTCCATCTCCTTATCTCAGGAAGAAAAAGGATAAACATTGATTGAGTCCTTACCCTGTACCAGGATGGACATTAGGGCATCTCATGTATTCCTCACAATGATTCTGGAAGGTGGGGGCTTTTGCCCTCATTTCCAACTCAGCTTTAGAAAATTTGATAACCATACCCCAGATCTGGTAATTAACAGAAAAAAATTAAAATAAAATGCAAATCTTTCTATCTTAGATTACCATCATTGACGGTGAACTTCAGGAAGCCAGGACATGTTCAGTCCCCAGCATCACGCCAAATCCCCAGAGCCACTCAGGCTATGACTCTGATCCTGCAGATTTTGTCAAGGGCTTCCAGGGATGTGGGTGAAGGGAACCAGGATTGCACTTTGCCTTGCCTCATCTGACCTGGCATCCCCCTTTCCTTTGCTGCTTACTGTACAGGGACTGCCTCACATTCCAAAAATGCCTGGGAACTCACAGAGAAATCAGAGTCAGGAGCCCTGCACTTAAAAGAATCCATATAACTCCAAACTCCATCTTAGGATTTTCACTGCCAGTTGAGTTGCCTTTTGGTATTGCACTGCTACCAGTCACATTTTCTTTGATTCTCTTCCAAGATTTCCAAACATGTGCGTGGCACCCAGGAGAGTTTCAGAGGAAGTGTTAGAGTGTCAGGAGAAGTGCTGAGGGGTTGGTTTTGTGTATATGTGCTAGTGTAACTTTCATAAAAGCAAGTGTAAGTTCTTTAGAGTATTAACTTCCACAGGAGCATCAACTTTCAGGCAAATGCAGTTATTTCCCTTTGCCTAGGCTTTTTTTTTTTTTTTTAATGAGCGGTATCTGAAGTTAGGGATGAACCCTGTTAAGCAAAGGGTCTCCAAGACCCTTGGGATACGGACTCCCTTCGCTGGCCCAATGCCCAAGCTTCTCTGGAGGATTAGCCCTCCGCCGTCTCCATCCCTCAGCCTTCAGAAACCGCCTAATACCTACACGTGCTTTGGGCACAAGCAGGTTCAAAGCATAGAACAACCAAGCCACCACCCGCAAGAAACCTATTTCTGAACCCAGAGTCAACAAGAATTGCGTGTGTGTCTGTGTCAGCGAGAAGGCTGGGTCCACAGGGACGTGGTCCAGCATGGTTAGCAGCGGGTCCTGCTGGACGTTCAGGTCTCCAGGGAGGGACAGTCCTTGAGCCCTGGGCGAACTAGGGACACGTCTCAGCCCCGGGCGCCAGTGCCAGATCAGGAGAGACAAAGGTGGACAGAGAAAGGAGAGAGGAGAGTGAGTCTGTGTTCTCTTGGGGCAAGTGTGCGCGGTACCTTGGATTCCTGGCTGCTGGTGGATGCAGGAGAGGGCGGCTGCTCGGCACTCGCCGCCTCCTTGGGCAGCCCGTCCACGCCGTCCTCCCGGGCGCCGCTCGGAGGGATCATCGTGGCCGCGCGGGAACGGTGTTGGGCTCCCGGAGGAACAGCAAGGCTGCCTTCCTCCGGCGCGCCCTGCCCGCCACGCGCTAGGTTGCTCAGCTCCGGGTCCCGGGGATTTCCATCCTCGCCGAGGCGCCGACGTGCCCTCCTCCGGCCTCGACCCCGCCCGGCCCTGCCCACCTCCCGGGCACTTCCGCGGGCTGCGGGGAGAGCGCGCCCTGCTCCGCCCCGCCGCGCCCGCGGCCACCTCGCCGGCGACCTCGCAGTCGTGACTGCCGCCCGGCAGTGGGCGAGCGGGCTCCAGCTCGCCCGCCCGAGGAGGAGGGAGGCGGAGAGGCAGCTCGGGGCGGGGCTGCGTGGCCAACGCCAGGAGTAGTGAGGGCAGCGGGAGGCAGCACCCAGGAGAGCTCTGAGGGAGGCTAGACGCGCACCGGCACCGGGTCGGGGTGGTTCTTTAGGGAGGATAGAGAAAATTCAGACCAAATCCGAATGAATAGAAAACCCGTGAATTATACAGCCAGGAAGGACCATCTGCAACAACTCCCTCATTCCTCACCCCAAGAAACTGTGACTCTGAGAGAGACAGGGACTTAGCTAAGCGATTAATAGGGTTCAGTGACAGAGATCAGAGATCAGAATGGGAGTCCCCTGACTCGTGCGCACTGCACTTTCTCCATTCAGCTTTGATCTGAAGCAGAGAGGTAACGCACTGTATGTCTAGACACCTGTTACTCATTTGTCGTGCATTTATTGTGCTGAGCCTTTTACGCTTTTTACCTTATTTAATAGTCACTGCCATTCTAAGCGTCTAGGTACTATCAATTCTATTTTATGGATGAGGAAACTGGGGTTTCAGGAAGGCTCAGTAATCTTTAAATCACCACACTATAATTTGTGGAACTGGGATTTGAAACAATTTTGGCTTCAAAATCCATGCTTTTGGACTGGAGCCTCAACTCTAGGCCAGGTCCTAGAGGCTAAAGAACAATTGGAAGTTGCAGTACAGCAAGGAGTTCAGGACTGTTCACAGAGGGGCAAACCAGTGTGCCTTATTAAATCTTTTGGAAACAGAGTTAGCCCTGGTGGATAAAGGCACAGAAGGGTCCAGCTGCTTTTGAAGACACAACCTTAGTGTGCAGGTTAAGGAAATACACCTAGATATTTAAAAGCCTCTTTTCACCCATTAATACAAATCTCCTTCCTTAATTTTTTAACAGAAAATTGTGAGTATATGTTCAGATTTTCTTAATTAACTATAGATGTTTGCAAGACTAACTTCAAAGGTGTGCGACCTGTGCAGTTGCACGGGGGCCTGCACTTGGTTTAATGCTCTGATGTTGTCATCTGGAACTTCTTAAAAAGTTCAAGATGCCCTTGTAGCTCCCCAAGCTCTTGACAACTGGCTGCATTTTCCTTTTGCACTTGACCCTGTGAATTATGTATCTGGTCGCTCAGGCTTACCTTAGCTCATGTCCTTTGGAAAGAACTTACTACTCTTTCCATTCCAGACATCAATTGGCAGCTCCTGTTCAAAGTGTCAGCCTCTTACTCAGCGTTTGGTGCTCAGAATGCTCTGAACTCCCTAGTGACTCTCAGCCTCTCATTTGACCAGGCCAGATTGGCTAGCCCAAACGGCCACAAGTTTTTTCCGTCCTTAAAACACAATTCCTGATTGCTCAATAGAGACAAAATTCTAGCAGACAAAGTCACAACAGTAGCAAGCAGAGCACACAATGACAGGAGCAGCAGTATCAATGCATCTTTATCGAGCCTCTATTCTGTACCAGACATTATGCTAGAAACTAAGGATACAGCAGAGAGAAAACAGATTGTCTGTTTTCCTGGAACTTGAGTCTGGTGAGAGAGACAGAGATTAATCAAATCATGCACCCGTACACACATTTTTAATAAACTATGATAAGGAAAAGTGCAGGACTTTAATGAGTGTGTACAAATGTGAGACCTGAACTAGCATGGGGCCAGAGAAGTGTTTTCTTAGGAAGTAAAACTCCCAGGATTTACTGGCAATTCCAGTCTTGGTGAGCAAACATACCATGGCCAACAAGAAATGTTTCATTTTGGGATTTTATTTTTTTAAGAATTAAAGATGTCACCCTTCATTTTAGTATGTGCTTAGCTCCAATTAGCAATAGTATTATCCAATAGTATAAGTTCAAATGTCGTCACCTGAAGGAAAGTTTAAAGAAGATAGTACCTCCCTCCTTGTCACCTAACCCTTGTCCCAGTAACAGAAATACTTAATCTAATAAATAAGAGATACCTTTCCTAGGAAATTGTGGAATTATCCTTGGTTTTCCAAACTAAATCCAACCTTTGTTTATGTGTTTTTTTCCCACAAAATAAGTTCTTTTCCATCCAATCTTGTGTTATCTAGTCGATTTCTCTTATTCTTCAAAATATATCTCTAAGCATTTATTACTCTTGAAGTCTTCCTTGACCCATTTATCTGATTTAGATCTCCATATTAATGCTGTGGTTTTATGGCATCTTTCCTTAAGTAATCAGTAATTAACAAGATGGTGAAAAGAGGTTGCCCTTGTAGCTCCCCAGGCTCTAAGATGTTCTAGTCATTAGTTACTCCAAGTGTCCTCCACGCACTGAATAGAGAAAGACCTTGAACGCTTCTTGGGAACAGTGGGATTTGAAATCAAATAAGCACCACCTCAATATTGGAGATTTTGCCTTTATTGGCTTACAAGAAGATATTAAAATGAGAGTCCTGGCTATCTGTGAGTGTGGGGCTCCTTGATCTGCATGGAGGTAAGGGGTCTGCAAAAGGGATATTAGGCTCACAGCTCACCTCTGGAAGGAGGAGTAGAGGTGAGCAGAATCCTTCTTTGTTTGAGTCTGTGGGGAGAGGGCTACTGGCAGAAATGGGAGACACTATATTTGAGGCTTGGGTCACATGTGCTGCTGGTTTTAGACCTAGATGACCATGTCTGAGTCCAAGTCCTGGAGTGATGAGTGTTCTCCCATGTTGTCACAAAACCCAGCCCTGGACATGATACTGAAAGGACATTGGTATATTGCTGGCAATGCCCAGAGGACAGTGGAGAGAACGGATAGTATCATGTACTGGGGGTTGGAGTCAGTGGATGGTAGACCAGCAAAGTGAGCCTCAGAGGATGCCCAATGAAGCACTGATGTCCCTGGGCAAAAGTGTACTTTTTCAACGCTATGTGTGAGATATCCCCTCAGACTCGCAGAAATATAGCAGTGACACCTCACAGAAAACTGGAGGTCCTGTAGTAGAAACTGTGGTGACATTTTAACTATGGCTATCAAGATGACCTCATTTCTTCTGCAGGCTAGTAAAGCCTGGGGAAAGAAGTTTGCAAATAATTATTCTCAGTCTCAAGTCCATAGCAGGACCTTGTGATTTTTGTCAATTCCCTTCATGGTCCATTTCACTCTGGTTGCTGCATAAATAATCAGACCAGTAGAAGTGTGAGGTGTACAGAAATTTATCTCCACAAACTTCAGCTGGAAGCTCCCACTCCCTGGTTCAGTTATTCATTCATTAATTTGTAAAGTGGGCAAAGCCCTCCTCCTGATCAAATCCAATTGCCTTTCGTAGTAAACACTGTTGAGCAGAAGAGTATGTAATGCTTTCATCCTTTTCCTTTTTTTCTACTGTGAGTTTCGATAAAGACACTGGTTTTTCATTCTATGGACCTTGGCTGCTTCTAGAGCCATTAAGTAAAGATACAAATAATTCTACTTAAATAAAGCAGCCATACTTATGAAGGGTACAAAAAAGAACAGCAAGGAAAAGGAAGAGGGAGTTAATCAGAATGTCCGAAGGATGGAGTATGACAAGAATAAAGGAGAGGGGGTCTCAAGGAAGGGCTGGCTGTCCATGGCTGATGCATCAGACTCATTGTGGATAGTGAGATATATGAGAAGGGCATAGGATTGCTGATAATAATGATCGCTAACATGTATTGGGCTTCTAATATTTATAAACATTTTGTATATGTTATTTCATTTAATCCCTACAAAACCTTAGCAAGATAAAGAAAACGATCCTAGGTTCCATAGTGAGTGTGGGAACAAGGACTTGAACTCAAGTATAACCTGCTCCTGGGCCAAGTTTTGGCCACTTTGCTATGCTAGCACCTAGACAACAGCAGAACCCCGATCTTCCGAAAAGGCAGCAGGCCTCAAAGGGAAGGAGCAATGCAAATTGAGAGCCATAGACATAATAGAAGACATAGGGAGAGTCCCCAAACAACGAAGTAAATAATGAGCAGATCTATACTTTGATGGTGATGGCCAAGAAGTCAAGACCAAAGTAGGCAGCAGGCATCAGCCATTAGCATCACTTGTTACCCTCCAGCTACCTTGCCTGGTGGACCTGCTTTCAATTCTAGAGAAACCAAATTCTTTGCTCACAGTCGTACAGCTAACGACACCAACAACATCCGCTACTTTGAGCGACTGTTAAAGCAAGGCTTCAGTCCTCATAGCAACTCATGATTGGTCTTTCCTCAGTATCAAAGCTAATAATTTAATATGGAGACTCATATTTTCAGGGCAAATGAGATCTAGCTTAAGTATCCTTAACTTGTTTTTCTTTCTCAGTGCCAATAACACGACAACAACAACAACAACAATAATAGTCAATCATATTGCATAGCACTGTTTCACTGCATTAGGATTATCCCCACTGGATATTCCCAGAAAAGGGTAGAAGAATGAGACCCAAGCCCCATATGGCTGCCTACCTTCCAGATTAAGATCTGTCTCTCTTCTCTGAAATGCATGGTTGTTTCTAGGTGGTTATAACCTCTTTGAGATAGGGGGCAGCTTGAATCTTTATTCTATATTTAGTGGAAAGGCCATGAACCTGTAATCCAAATGTCCTAGCTCTTTGGCTTAAAGGCAGCAAGATCTCAGACAATTTATTTTTTATCTCTCTCAGCCTCATTTTCCAAAAGTTTTACAATGGGATAATAATCCCTACTTCATAGAGTTTCTGTGAGGATTCATGTCTGCTATCATCATCATCATCATCACCAGCCATATGATTTGGGGCAAATATACTTGGTTTGAGTTGGGTTTACTGTTCATTACAGCCAAATACATGTACAATATTTAAAGTAGATATATTCTACATTTCT